GGGGGGGGGGGGGGGCTTTGTCTCCTATTTAGGACTTGAAGAAACTTGGTTAAAGATGAAGGTACCCTGGGCATGTTTGGGGCTCCTCTTGTATGTGAACTCACTGGAGAGACACCTGCTAATCACCTACCGTGTGTCAGGCATGAGCAAAACAGACAAAGATCCCTGCCTTTGTGGAGGGGACATTTAAACAGAGACCCGAAGAAGGTGAGGGAGCAAGCCCTACGGACCACGAGGGAAAGTGCATTCTGGCGACGGGCAAGTGCAAAGGTCCTGAGGTAGGGCGTATGTGGTATGTTCTGAGAAGGATGGTGAGGAGGCCGGTGTGGCTGGAGCAGAGGGCACACGAAGAAGAGCAGGAGGTGAGGTCAGCAAGGAGCTGACAGTCAGAGGACACTAACTTCAGAGATCACACCTCAGTGAGGTGGAGAATGCTGAGGGCTTAGGGCGGAGCGGTGGCCTGATCTGACCTATTTACGAGCAGGAGACGTCAGATGTATAAGGTTTAACTGTATAAGGTGTAATTTGTGGCCTTAGAATGTCCCGTCCCAGCAAATGTAGGGTTGGAGAGTCTGAGCAGGTCCATAAAAACAACAGTGCTGGCTGCTTTTTCTTACTGCAAAGGAAAGACCAGTTGCCTTGGGCATTTAAGTGCAGTCACTGGGGGTTCCTGGTACCCCTCCCCGCTCCGTGTCTCCAGCCGACGTGCTCTGTGGCACACAGGATCCCCTACACCGGGCATGCCTGCGTCTCACTGCAGCGCTAATCCATCTATACTTAGGACATATTTATCAAGTGTCTCCAAAGAATCCCGGGGACCTAATGTCGACCCTTCACACCGGCCCCGCCCCCACCGCTCCTCGTGGGTCCGGGCCTCCCTCCTGAAGACCACAGCTTAGCCCGAGGGCCCTGCACCCCAGGACTCACCGGGCACGGAGAAGGGGGACAGGAAGGCAGCCTCAACGGGCTCGGGCTCTGGGGGTGGCGGTGGGGGTGGGGGTTGCTGCTCCTGTTGCCGCTGAGGGTCCTCAGGGTTTTCCACGGGAACGTTCCCATTCTCGATACTTTCGTGTCTCCCGTTCTGAAGCGGCTTGCTGCTCACACCGTTTGCCGAGTTGATCAGTCTCTGCCGCTGTGTGGACAGGAGGCAAGTCAGACGCCAAGACATGTTACAGAGTATCGCACCGTGGCTTTGCTCCTTACAAGCACACAGCCCTTCCAGGTTTCTGGAACACACCCCTGGAGGCCAGTTTGCCTGGGAACTGGCCCGAGACCCTTGGAATCCATCTGACTTTGCTCATTTCCACTGGCAGTGCTCATTCCAGCTCTTCCGGTGGCATTTACGAGCTGCCTGAAGACGGTCACAGGGAAAGCCTGCATCGTTGTTTTTAATTTTTAACATGTATATTGTGCAAAAAGTACATTTCTATGAAGCGTAGAGCTCGATGACGTGCTACATCAAGATGCAGAACATTTCCAGCCCCTCAGAAGACTCCCTCAGGCACCTCCCTGGTTCATACGCCCCTTTATATGTAACCACTCTGCTGACTTTTTACAAACATCGGTTAGCTGTTCCTGAACTTCGTATAAATGGATTCAAAGAATATGTATTATGCTGTGTCTGGCTTCTCTCACTCAATATCTGTGAAATCCATCCACGGCGTCGCACGACTCGGCGACTTAACTATTTTTCACGGCTGTAGAGTAATACGTTGCATAACCCGCAATGCATCCTTTGCCTACTGAAGGGCACTGGGCTGTTTCCCTTCTTTGGTTATTATGAACAATGTTACCGTGAACATTTGTGCACTTCTGGACACACGGACTCATTTCCCTTGGGTATTGAGGAGTGGCAATTCGAGGCCACGTAGCAGGCGCGTGGTGAACCATTTCGCACTCGAATCAGCAACGGATTGGAATTTCAATGGCTTCCCATCCTTGTTAACACCTGACACTGGCAGTCCTTTTATTTAGTTGTTTTTTTAAATTTTTTTTATTAACGTTTATTTATTATTTTTGAGACAGAGAGAGACAGAGCATGAACAGGGGAGGGGCAGAGAGAGAGGGAGACACAGAATCTGAAACAGGCTCCAGGCTCCGAGCCGTCAGCACAGAGCCCGACGTGGGGCTCAAACCCACGGACTGTGAGATCATGACCTGAGCCAAAGTCGGACGCTCAACCGACTGAGCCACCCAGGCGCCCCTTATTTAGTTTTTTAAGTTTATTATTTTGAGAAAGCGTGTGTACGCAGGTTGGGGAGGGGGAGAGAGAGGAAGAGAAAGAGAATCCCACCCACCTGTCCCTTTCCCTGCCCCATCTCATAGTGACTGGCAAAGCCCGCCTCCTTTCCACCCAAGCAGAAGCCTGGCTTCCTCACCAAGTCCATGGGCTTCTATAAGCCAGGGAAAGGCAGAAGCCACATTTCAAGACATCAGTAGGTTTCACTTTCCAAGGAATCTGCCTTCCTGTGCACACTTCCCCTTTGTCCGGCTCTGATTACAAACACCAGTGGGTCCGTCTGAACGAGGCCTTGGGGGTAAGGACTGTCACACAGTGGACACTTCTATACATCTCCCAATTCTTCACCAGGAAACAAAGAGTCACTGAATGTGTCCCCCAAGGCACTATTCTCTTCCTGTGTGTCCAACGCCTATCCTCATGATTACCGGAAGTAAAGATATCATTATGAAAATACACACATGTTATTTCTCTTAAAAAAAAAAAAAAAAAAA